GCTCGACTTGACAAAATTAAAGTAGGGGGTCTCTGTTAACTTTAAAAAAAAGAGTGTCCCCACCACTTGATAAACGTTACAAAGCCATGGGGGCTACGCACCCACACCCCCTAATACACCTCTTTAAATCATATAGGAAATATTTATGAATAATTAAATTAAAAAAAAAAAATTATGTAAATATTATATTGTATATTATATTTTTAACTTATAAAATAAAATATAACAAACTCAAAAACAATTGAAACAAAACAAAAAAAACTATTTATTTATATATGTTATCTCTTAACACGTACATTTTGATAAAAATTCAGAATGATGGCATGATTTAGCGTCCCATGCGTTCCCCTTAAAAATAAAAGTAGTGGTACGCTGAAATTTTTTAATAATTAGTTGGGGTACTGTGTCCCCCCCCCAAGTCGAGCACTGGGTTTAAGCTAGTTTTATATGTAGACCTAGTTTAAAAAAAATATTCACTGATTTTGTGTTATTACATTTAAAAAAACCAGAATAGTATAGTAGTTATGATTTATTTTTTTTTGTTTTTAAGTATTCATTCAAATAGTTTTTACAGGGGTATTTACCAATCTATTACAAAATACTTGTTTTTTACATATAATTAGTGGGAGTAGAGTTATTAATTTCTGCCCACATGAAAAAGGGTTTGATTTTCATTTGTGGTAGGTAGATTAAGGTATATCTAGGTACTTGGTTCTGTTTTCAAATCCTTAGGTACAGGTTGGGGTACAAGTAATWTTTAGTTTTTACTTATTGCAGTTGGCATGTTATCTAATTGTATTGTTTTAAATAATTTATCTTTTTGGTTTTTAGATATTCAATTTAGAATTTTATTTATAGTACCTWTGTTGGTATGCATTAGTTTAAACACTTTAAACTGGCGGCGTCGTGGAAGTAATACAAAAGCAGTCCACGCGGCGTTTTCAGTTGAAAACTGAAAATTAAATAAAACTTTAAATTAAATCTATAATAGGATTCAATATTAATTAGAGCTGTTAATTGAAATTTGACCACGCTGAAGATGGAAACATACTATTTTCAAAATACAATTTAGCTATAACAACATAAAACCAAAATCATGATTATACCAGACTAGTGGTTCTCAAATTTCAAATGATACTTTTGGAACAAAAATGATTTGGCTGATACAAAAACTAAACTTTCTTCATTTTGACAGAAAAAATGCATGTTTGTTTTACCTATCAAGTTGATAGTATTATTAAATTGATTTTTTCTGAATTATTAGTTTTTATTATGTTCTTATGGTGAACCCTTTTAATTACTACCTATTTATTTTAAATATTTAACATTTTGGTTTGTAAAATGCCAATAAAAAAAAAAAAATAATATTTGAAATTAAAATATAAATAGTAGGATATAAGATCAAATTAATGTTGGTTATGACTATTGTACATAGCTTATACCCTTATATGTAGAGTGTAACAGGATTGTTTGACAAATTTCCATTTCAAATATTACTATATTTGTCAAATACAGGTTGTATTTAGGCAATAATAATTTTAAACGACATTGATTATAAAATCATCTCAAGTCTAGTATAATTAATTACTGTATGTTTTAACTTAGACCTCAATTCCAGTTAAATTCAAGTTATGACACATACCTACTATAATTCAGAATAAGTTCATGATTTATCAACAATTGAATATTATGAAAAATACAACAAAATACTTATAATTTGAAAAACAATATTTCTATGTATTTAATATTTTGAGACTTATTAAGTTATAACATTACCTGGCACAAGCATAGTGCAATTTTTTAATATGAATTACAGTTTAATATTATGTCATATTCTAGTATCTACAATCTACATAGTAGACTATTCGAAAATTTGTCTGTTTATTTAATACTTGTCTTGTAACGTTTTTTTTGSTATCCAAAGTAAAATATTTTTTACAATTTAATTATATTTCATTTATACTAATTTAGATACCTTTAATGTTTTTTCCTTTTAGTTATTGATTCAAAAGAGTTTAGAAGAAGATTCAATTAATGGCATAGGCTGTGGTGTATTTAAGGTATTATATAATTCATAACTAATTTTTACAACTATAAATATAATTATTACTTACTCTTAGGTATATATTTTATTTTCATTTTAATTATGTATGTTTAAATATTTTTTCAAGCGTTACTTGTTTCCACAATATCCTGAAATGGCTCGTAAACTTTTTGCATTTCTGGTAACTTCATCTGGAGGTCCTGCTTCTTCCCATGTTATTAGTTATACAAACTTTAAAGCCCAAACTGAACGTTTACTGAGTGTTTTGGCTGATGACCGCCAAGTATTGATGTACGTCACGGTGAGCGAGTCTTAATAATTTTATATTTGTAATTGGTTGATAATAATTTAATTAATAATCCATCTCATTAAAATATTAAAATTATTGTAGGTCATAGGTATTAAACATAATATTAAAATTAAAWTTTTTTTTTTCATTTATTATATTTAAAATGTGTCAACATATTACATGTTATTACAAGTTTGTCAAGTTTGTATGCAATTTAGAATTTATTGTTATGATATGGTATGGATGATCAGAAGATATGTGATATGT